CCCGAGCCCGAGACGAGCGCACACTTGCAACTACTACGAAGGACAGCTCATCATCTTCGGTGGGGGCAATGGCGTTGGTGCCCTCAATGACGTCCACACCCTCGACGTCACCGATCTGTCGCGTCTCGAATGGCGAAAAATGGAATGTAGCGGCAAGGTACCCATCGGACGCGGTTACCACACATCTAACCTCGTCGATGGCAAGCTCATCGTGATCGGTGGAAGCGATGGCCACATGTCTTTCAACGATATCCACATCCTCAGACTTGACACACAGACCTGGTATCAAGTCAAGACAGAGGAAATCCACAACCGCCTCGGTCACACCGCCACCCAGGTCGGCTCCTACCTTTTCATCTTCGGAGGGCACGACAGCAAGACCTACACGTCGGAGCTGCTGACCCTCAATCTCGTCAACCTGCAGTGGGAGCCGAGAAAAGTGTGCGGCAAGAAGCCACAGGGTCGAGGCTATCACCAGGCATGGCTCAGAGACTCGAGGCTCTTTGTGCACGGAGGCTTCGACGGCAAAGATATCTTTGACGACCTGCACTTTTTGGACTTGGCTGCATGCGCGTACTTGCCGCAGATCACTAGCTTCAGTGTCGAGCTCGACGACGACGAATGATACACGCACGCCTGCGCTGCGCTGGACGCGACGTCGGCGTGTATCGTACCGTTCTTTAGGCAGCCAAGCATGTCACCCCTGTACCCACAGCAAGACCCGAATCGCGCACGGCACTAATTCCTTGGTAACATTTCTTGCACGCAATAAACGCACGCAATTCTCGGGGCACGAAGAACGCAGGCCGATCAGTCGTCCGGCGTTCTGTGAGAAGGCGCTTTCGGCGACTTTCTGATCGGCATGATTCTCTCAAAGTGCAGACAAGCTTTTTTCGGACCACCAACTGCGTGTCGACGTGCAAGGATGCTCATTCGAGGGACGCTGAGGTTGAAAGCGAAGACGGAGCTTGCTGTCAGGTCAATTCCGCATCTAGGTTGCCTTAGATACACATGATGGGCGGTGACAACAACACCATCCGTCCATCACATGCATGGGAGCGGATCTAGCCGCCCACCCAACCAGGACCAGAACGCGCATGTCACTCGTGTCGACGTTGGCGCACAATCGCCATGCGGACAGTGCATTGTATGTTGCGCCTGCTCAGCAATAGCCGGCGACGGTGGTCGTAACCTCTTCTTTGACATTGACATCCCTATCAATACCGTGAAGCGCTCGGCTTTCTTTGCTAAGTCTCCTTGGTGGGTTTATGCAGCCAACGTGACGGCGTCGCGATGTGACAAAGATGCAGTCCGTCGTCAGCGATTCTCGCCACTTGACTTCATATCCCGGCTAGGTCTGATGCTGCCATGATCGATACGGCGCTTTTGTGCGAGAAATGCATGCATCGAGCGCCCTTCGACTACACCCATCGAGTTTACCTCGGATGCCGAGGCTATCGTTCCAGCCCACAGCGATGCATTGACGTTGTCGCTCTGCGACAATCCTTCATGCCACGCTACCCACCAATTCTCCGAGAAGATTCGAGTCCATTGCAGTCTTCTGGTTCCTGTCGTACTCAAATTCGCTGGATATATGGATGCTTGGTGCTTCGGATCAGGTCGGTACCACGTCATATAGCGGCATCAGCACTGAAACACTGTTCTAGGACATGCGACGATGTGTATTTGATCGCCGAAGCTGCTTAGAGACATGCCAGGAGCACAGACCAACGCTTGCACTGCACGCCGATTGATGGCGCACGAACCCACCCTGGGTTGTGGCAGTGCCGAGCCGTGCATCAAACTCATCTCACTGATCTTGGTCCCACCGTCAAGAGGCGCCCGTACTTTCCCACCTCGTTGCTTCAATGATAATGAAGTGGGTCTCTCCCTAACGAAGACCCTGTGAGGGCGACCACCACCAGTTGCACAGCTCGGTCGGTGCCAGATTTTCGCCTTGCCCGCTCACAACTGGCGCCGTGGCGTCGACGTCGCTTCCTCACCCTGGCCATCTTCGCAAATGAAGTGGGGTCACCGCCAGCACATCGCTCTGCACAAGGCAGTTGCACAGTCGCTCCTTCCGTTTTGGGACTGCGTGCGCCGCCTGCTCAGCCGCCGCTTCGAGTGTGGTCTGTCACGAAGGTATAAGACGCAGCCTGTCTGAGCCCAAAGTCTCATGTGCTGGACCAAACCACCCTCTTCTTGTTTTGCGAGCCTCACAAGAACAACTCCACCCTCTTCTCGTCTTCTCATATTGAATCTTCTGGAAAGTATTCAATCCACACACTCTCTTTCAACATGAAGATCCAGGCCTCTTTCGTGACCCTTCTGGTCGTCGTCAGCGCCGCCATCTCGGCTGCTGACGCCAAGGCCGACCTCTCCAAGCGCCCCGTCCGTCTTGCCCGCCGCGACGACGCCGCTGTCCAGAAGCGTGGCTTTGGTTTCGCCAACCGTTTCTTCCGCCGCGACGGCGCCTACGATGCTGGCTCCAACCAGGATGCCGATGCCGCTGGCGCTAACGGCGGTGATGACGTCTCGAACCCGGGTGCTGGTGGCGATGATGCTGCCAAGCCCGAGAACTACAACGGTGACAAGAACGCCGATGCTGATAACTCGGGTGCCGACAAGCCAGCTTCCGAAAACTCTGGTGCCGATAAGCCCGCCGACGATGGCTCCAAGCCCGAGGACTACGGCAACGGCGCCTCTCCGCAGCCCCAGGGCGACTCTTCGCAGCAGCCCCAGCAGCCTCCGCAGCCCCAAGGCGATGCTTCGCAGCAGCCTCAGCAGCCCAACAACGCTCCTCAGCAGCCTCAGCAGCCTCAGCCTGAGGGCTACGGCAACGGTGGCCAGCCTCAGAACGCTCAACAGCAGGCTGACCAGCAGAAGCAGCAGCAGGATGAGCAGAAGCGTCAGCAGGAGGAACAGCAGCGCCAGCAGCAGGAGCAGCAGCGC